CCCGATATTTAAGACAAAACCATCGGGTATTTTGCCCACTTATTTATAAATTTCGTGCCACAACTATTTACCAACAAGTCCATCCATCCCCTTGCACCTTTTTTTTTTTTTACTGAACACCCCACAATATGTTTCCTTCAAGTAGCAAAAAATAACAAAATATACTAGTGCCAAAAGAAGGGCTCCTTAGTCCACTTTCTTAAAATAGAAAGAAAGAAACTGGTTCACGGAGGGATCCAAAGCCTCCTGTAAAAAAAGGGAGCAATAAAAATGGAAACAATTTATGAACCATCCCCTACATTTTTGGTATTCAGTAAGACCGATCCAGTTTTTCTGACCACTTATTTTGATAGTTTTGTTTTTAATACAAGCTGCGTTCAGTCGGTGTACTTTCCGTTTTCTTTGCAACTTACTCCAGCCTTAATATACATACACAAGTTATTATTTCAAGACATATTGCGACTTTTTATCCGCGGCCTAACGGCTTATTGAACGGTTCCAAGGTTGTTTGTTTTTCAAGTACAAACTTCTAGCTCATATCTCCGTCATCTCTTGATCGATTTGAGATCCAATTACAGGTTTGGGACTGAAGAGGTCAAACCCTTTCGGCTGATATATTTGACCACGCCCTATATCTCAGATTAATTTACTCTGATCCTGCTTAAAATAATTTCAATTGCCGCGGCTATTGAGGATTCCTTCTTGTTTCACTTTTATATTAGAATATGTTTATTGGTTGTTCTTCAATTACAATCGCTTCATTAGTATGTCGGGTATTAAACAAGGTAGCACCCTCTTTCTCAATTTCCGCCCACTCCTTATAATTATATATTCAAATACTGTTCGGTTTTTGAAATATCTTTCATGATCCCATCAAACGTTCGTGGTTGTTATGAGAACTGGTTTATGCAGTATAAGCAGTTATTACTGTTGTACTGATAGTCTTAGCATCAATCATGCTTTACAGATAGCGTTTACTAGAAAAAAAATATATTGACGAAGTAAAACAAAACTTCGAGTGCGAATGATATGAATACAGCGAGATTATTACTAGTCCCCCCCCCTCCCATGAATCGGAAATGTGATTACATTTAAATATATAGACTCCGCTTCCCCAGCGGCGTCGCTGAAGTCGAATTGCAATCTGACAGATTTCTTTGTAGAAAAAAACAACCTCCAAATGTACAAGTTGCGTGACAACAATATTACATCGTATGGAATAAATGTTTCACGTGCTAAACGAGGGTACACCCCTTCCTGAAATTCAAACGCAATATCAGTTATATATTTTGGTTCCCGTCCAAACCAGTTCTGGAATATAATTTAACGATATCACTCCTTAATTGTTTCCCCGCATTAGGAGCGTCTGGAATATTTATTAACTTTAATTTTTCTTTTTTCTTTTATTACACTCAACCCTCATTGGTATAAAACAAGTCTATTTTAGGATAAACGATGCGAGGAGTTAAAACCTGGCGCGAGCGCGTGCTCAACCTTTGAATAAATGTACAAAATATTCAACTTTGAGGAAAGACCCACTTTATTGTTCCGAAAACAAAATGAGTTTGATCGAAAATATGAAGTTTGGAGGTAAATCAGGACACTAAATATCATGTTCACGGTTTAATTAGAAACAACGTTTAGAGTTACTGAAGACTCCGTGTCTAGCGTCGTCCTGTGATAAATATAAGTGGATTATATTATCTGGTTTACATTTATTTGCGAGAAAACTGACAAATACCGATATCTTTAAAATGTGTCCAATTGTATGATTCAGCCAGTGGCTTGCAGAATCCTTACAGATGTTGTAATTTCTTCCCCTCCCCCCCACTTGCACATGTTGTCACGTGATACATTGACCTTCAAACTTCAAGGTACGCTTCCCGAGTTCAACCAGACACTTCTTTCAATTTCTCATGGTACAACACTTGAGTATTATTTCTTGGCACTCGTGTATAATTATAAAATAATAAATAACACTCAACATTAAAATAGCTACACAATTTAAAACATTTTAATTTAGGGCAATTTATGACCACTAAAAAAGTTCACTACATGTTTCGTCTTTACGATGTCATCTTCAGGAGTAAGTTGCAAGACATAATCGGGTCTTATTTATACTTTTTTTCGTTGGTGTTAAATAGGTCATGTGACCTGTACAGGTTTACGATTCCCGCGTTAATTTTTTTTTTAGAGAATGTCACCCCACATTTTTGGCATAAATATTCGCCTATTTAATAATACATTATATATTTTACATTTAATTATTTCCAAGAAATATTGTTAGCTATACCCTTTGGTTAAGGCAACATTACAGTTTTTTTGTCCCACAATACCGTATGTTGGGTTTCAGTTTGATGGGAAAACTAAACAATCATTATAAGCATCATCCATAAATGTCCATCAAGCCTTCAAGGGTAACAATAGAGATGACAAGAGTACAGTTACTAGGCAACGAAGAAACCTAATATCCATCTCTTAGTTCTATCGATCGAAGTAGTACAAAAAGTAATGTTTTACTCTTTATATTGTTAAAAAAAGTTTAATTACTGGTTATGCGGAAGCAGGTGGTTGCACGAGGAATCTCGTGATGGACCGACCACACCCACAGAAATAGCCACAACTTATTTTCACGCAGGACTGTCTGCTCTAAATGTTTCCCAGCATGCACGACTTTCCTAGGTTCATGGCATGTAATTAATTAAAGCCCCATTTTTTATGAACTTTGTTTCTGCCCTTTACTCATTCTATCCCCCCCCTCCGCTCGTAAGACATTTAATCCTTTAGTTATGCTAGTTTTAATATCATAAATCCCGGTAGAAGTTTGGAATGGGGCCACACCCTCTTTAAGACGTTAGACAAGCTTAAAATTCAGTTTTACGATTCCTTCTTAAGTATGCCTTACGGCTTTTGTTTTTGCAAGACACCGTTTAAGAAATGCGGAATTCCGAATTCTTCTCACTCTTCCCCCCTCCCCCACTCAATCCTTTATTATATATAGAAAAGAAAAACTTCTGTGTTTAGTACATGTGTTCATATATACACAAGGTTAATCAACTGATACAAAGTAGAACTAAACAACGAACGATAATACAGAGAGTATAAACAGGATGTTTATACAGGCACTATACTTTATCAGGAAAAGAAAAGTGTCTCCATACTGAACACTAACCTAAGACATCGTTGTTAAATACAAGCATTATTTATATATTGTATGTTAGGAATACGTTTGAAAAAGAAAGAGGCATAAAATAAATTATACAATCAAAATAGTTTAGTTTAAAAAAAACAACATTAGAAACAAGGACATGACCAACCTCAAGTTCCACGAGCTTATTGACCTGTTTTTGCGAGTATTCTTATTTTACATTTACACTGACACTATGCGACACCTAGCTGTTAAAATTAATATTGGTATATCACGTGACTTTTTTTTTTTTTTTTTATGAAATAAGATTAGTCGAATAGGGAATTGAACAACTATAATAAAAATAATCCACTTTCGATAATTATAATAAACCTTCAAGGTTTTTTTTTATATATCATACACGTCCATTGCAGTCAAGACTGTGCGAAATACTTTAAAATACGTTTTTTAAAACACACGGCACATTTTTATACAATAGTGTCTAGTTGGGTGTTGATTAATGTCATTTTTAGCCACATGTGGTTGTTTACACAACAGTACAAAGCTGTTCCAAACGTAGTTTTACTCCCTCTCCCCGTAAGCCTAAATCGGTTATAACTGATGTTCCCTGTTGCTCATCCACGTGGTATGACATACTGTATTAAACTATAATTTAGATGTGTCTTTGCTAGAAGAAGCATGTCATGATTGTTCTGACGGTTGGCGTTTTGGTTGGTTTTGACAGTTAAGGCTTACAACAGAAAAATAATCAAGGTAACACTGGTCAGGTTGTTTATGTCATACACACACACACACACACAGTCTCAGACTTAGTTTTAAACTTCAGGGTAGTCAAAA